CCACCGCATTTTTCTTGGCCAGTGCGTGCATATTTAGATGCAGTTTTTCCAAATCGCTGGATTGGCCATGTAAGCATTTTTGCTTGGCCATCCAGAAGTTCGGACTTCAATCCTCTTGATTTTTCTATTTGGTCTCGAATGAAAGATATAGTTTACAAAGAATCTATTGGCTCGTGTGAAGAGTTGTGGCAAAGAATACAAATCGTTGCCAACGAAGTCAGACGCAATCCCAATATGTTGTTGCAAACTCGAATATCTCTAAGAAAACCTGTAAAGTGTATCAGTGTCAACGGTGGATTCTTCGAACAATTGCTTTAAATCATAATTACGTATTTTATTTGTTTTATTGTTAATTGTAATAATACGAAGAAACGCTTGGTTTGTTTCGCTTTTAATTTCTCATATTATCAAAACATAGTGTTGGTTAAATCGATATTTCTCAAAAACAGATCGAGATACCGAAATGAAACAAGAGTACATAATGGAAAAATGATAGCTTTTTCATGTTTTGAATCAAGTTTGATGTTAAATATACAGGGTAAAAAGTTATTAACTAAATTTTCGGTAAAATTGGTCGTAAGTGGCGCCCTCTATGAGTAATGCTGAAATTACAACACGCATCTTGTTCGTCGCCTAAAAAAATATAGTTTCACAAATTTTCAAGTTCCTAACCTACATATTTTCAGAATAATCGCAAAAAANATTTTAGCTACCTGCTACAATTTAGTACAGTCCGATCGCACAAAGTTTTTTTAAAAGTACACCTCATCCTATACCGAAAATATTGAATATAAGCACCAGTACTACATTTATTTACGATTTGCATACATAATAAGCTTTTATTACTCTCTTTCATTTCTAACAGACTATAGTAGATTTTGCGTAAATTGAAGGCTTTAATTTACAAAATTTTAATTAAAAATCGAAGAACAAACATACACAAATTGCTACTTATTTTTTAATAACCGACACTGTATTACATTGCATTGCAGTTTTGTCGTGACATATAGTAAATGTGTTTTGCAATTTTATTTCATTTTTCGTTATTTAGACTTACCATATGTGGAAATTCTTCTTCCTTTGCAAACTCATTTCCAATAGCCAAAGATTTTTTTAGGAACGCACAATCATATGAATTCGGTACATACTGTAAATACTTTTTACACACTGAAACGTTAAATGAACAGTTAAATATCTCCAACAAAATGTTCATTGTTTTATATTACATTCTATTTTACTTGTATCTTAAGTTCTTATAGCTCTATTTTATACATATATTATGTGCAGAAAGGTGAAGTGAACCATATTTTATATGTATAAATACGCCAATAGTAAATTTGTTTATTTAACATTATGTTTTTATAATTAGAATTGATAAGTTGCTTAGCAACATTCACTAGCACACAATCAAAATTTTCCATATTTAAAATTTTTAAGCTAGGACAGAGGAAAATAGACCAAAGTGAATTTTTATACTTACTCTCTTTGCTTCGTTCCCCAGGTGTAGCACCTGCAAAATCATTAAAATATGTTGACATATAATAACGGTAAAATTGTTGCAAATTACTGAGACACTTGTTTTGATGTAAAATGCAAAATACCTTCCAAATCAAACAAATTTATTACAAATCCTCAAAAATTACAATTTATAAAAAGCAATAGCGAAATGATGCTCACCTTGAACTACACTCCTGGTGAAGCTTGAATAAATTATTGTAAACAATACAATTACGACTGGTTTCTGAAGAAGCATCTTTACACAAACACTGCCAAAGCGTTTCTGAAGTCAATGAGAAATTCCCAGTTAAAATAAACATCGTATGATATGACCAACAAGTAATACTAGTTTCCATCTCGCTACACAATAATATTTTGTTAACCTAATAAGAAGGTGCAAGCAAATTTATTTGCTTTATTATTAAAATTAATTAAAAAAAGATGTATACAAGGTGATTTCACTAAATACAGAAACTACAGGAAGAGATTAATAAGTAGAGTTTACTCTATAAAGTATAGTGATAAATTCAGCTTGCCGAAACAAAAAGTCGCGAAATAGTCATTCCCAGATTATTTTCCTGGCCTACAAACTAGAAATTTAAGAAAGTTGTCAATAATATAGAGTGTTTTCCGATCAATCAGTGATTCCAGAACCATGTAACAGTCCTCCTTTTTCCTCATAGGCATCATTCTGAGCTTACATCTGTTCTTTTCTTGTTTAATAAGTGACTAGACTACCTGAATAAACGCTTCGCTGTACCTACTGTGCGTCCGGACGCAGAACGAACAGGAATTCCGTTTTGAAATTTTGACAGCGTATTTTTAAATAGTTATACTAACAATTTATACAATAAAAACAAATTCTAATTTTTAGCCTCCTAATGTGGTTTTCGGTTTAAGAGAGAAAAAAACCGTCGCACTGTTATTGATTAAACCGAGAGAAAGTGGAGAAAAGTACGTTTAGATTTATATTTATATTTTCTTTTTACATTTATCATTAATATTTTATTATGGTACATTGATGTTTTATTATTATATTAATTTTAATTTAAATCTATATATTTTTCTGCCTTATAACTGGACTATTTCTCTGGGTAATTGTCCTCCAAATAAATAAAATCCTTGAAAATTGATAAAGCGAGCCTTTATTATATTTATATCACATTCAACGTCAAAATAAATTAAAATCGCATATTTAGTTGGGCCAGACTGTATCTTCTATCCATTTTATATAAGCTGATACCCTGGTGTATACCCCTGGGAGATTTTTCGCCAAACCACAAGATTTTCCGAAAGACGTAACCCCGACAATGTCGTACATACATCTGATACCTTGCGACTTGTCATGGTACACTTGAAGGGGCCCACCAGAGTCACCCTGAAATAAAAAGTTGTCTTCGATAATTCATTTTGTTTACTTCTTATGTCAAAATTTTGAGAAAAGGGCCTATAGGCTTACGAACTAGCTACCATATTTTAAAAAAATTAACCTTAATGACCACGTACAGTGCAGGCCCTTTGAAAGTGGACGACTCTTATAAGCAAATTGTCTATAATTGGCCTTTGTGAAGCTGACTTGAAAATGTGAGGTTCAATTCGGCTGTCATTGTCTCGAATTTAATGTGTGTCTATCATACTAGTTCTAGTGAGCAAAACAAATCCAAATTAGGTAGCAAATTATTTATTTTTCCAATACTGAAAGATATTATACATTCTAACGGCCATTCATTCGCCGTCAACGAGATTTAAAAATGAAACACTTTTCGTCGTCAAAAAATACGCGATTCGTATTTTATCCAAGCATCATTTTTGTCTATAACACTGCAATCTACATGGCATTGATAAAATTAATGTTCTTGTTATAATCTTCAGTGATGTTATCCCATGCGTTTTCAATTGCCTCCCAAAATTCTTCGACGTTAACTGGACAGAAGCTTCTGTCGTAAATTTTTTTCACCATATATTCCCAGGACTTAGAGGGCCAAGGCAAAACATCGATGTTGTTATCAATGAACCATTCTGACCCAACTCTTGAGGTGTGAATTGCACAATTATCCTGCTTGAAAGTGAAACTCTGAGGATACAGCATGGTCACAATAAACATCAGGACTTTGGCAGCTTATCCAAGCCCAAACGTTAATGGAGAATCCATCGCTGCGCTGTGTGGGTTTCACATATGGCTCCGAATACCTCTTATAATCTCTGGTGGGTAGACACGGACAGAAGCATCGGAGCAAGACAAAATATAATATTCTCCCAGAAGTTGTCTGGGCTTCCTACAAATTGTCTTGCAAACTCTAACATCTGTTCTTTATACTGGGGAGTCAAAGCAATTGTATTTGCGGCCACATAAGCACAGCTCCGAATCTTTCACCCGCTTCCTTGCAGTTCGCATTGATCCAGGAAAATTCGTCTCAAAGGAAGCCGCTACTGCCATGTTAAAAGGATTTATTCTTAGGTGGTGCTTACTTTTCGACGTCCACCTCTGTGAACATAACGTACGTGATCCTCCGCAATCCATTTTTCTTTGAGTTTAAATATGCTCTTCTTGCATACATGCAGATCATCCGCAATGACCAATCATTCTGAAGTAAAGTTATAGCTCTCACTTTCTCTGGTTCCGTTAAACGCGGAATCTTGATTTACCAAGCAAATTACTAATGACACTGACATATAAAACTTGTCATAATAAAAAGTAGACCACATCACATTAGAAAAATAAATCGTCCACTATCAAAGGGCCGGCAGTGTACAAGAATTGTTTTTACAGGGTGGGCCATTAGTGTGAGAAAGTAAAATAACTCCCTTGTTATTCATAATACAGAAAAACAGTTTATATAAAAGTTGTACACAGAATCAAAAAACCTAAAGGACAAAATTAATTTGAAACATACAGGGCGATTAATAAAAACGGGACACGTCAAATATTACATTTTTTAAATGGAACACCCTGTATACTTTTAAACATATGGATTTCTGAGAAAATTCTATATATGGCAACATAAACAGTTTAACATTTTAGTGCGGGGTTGCCAAGTTATGTAGAAAAATCTTCGAATTTTGGAAAAACATGATTTCGAAGAAGTTGTATTAACTTTCAACTACTAACACTTGGAGCAAAAATATTTGACAGAGTTTAGGCAAATGTTAGGCAAAGACTGCTATATTAGCTAATATCGATATTTTATACAAGGCATTTTTATAATACGATCATTTTTAAAAAGTTCAAAATTGATTTTATAAAATTTTTCAAATGGAACGCCCTGTATTTTATTGTTCCATTTTATTCACATATCAGTCCACTTCAACTTTTATTAAGTATGTTCTACACCTAAAGTTGTTAGTTTTTAAAATATAGCAACATTTCTGGAAAAACCTAATTTTTATTATTTCCGGTCGCACGAAATGGCTTTGGAAAAAACTGACACATTGTGTCAACTTGTCAGTTCATAATTTATCATTCCATATTGAGTTAATTTTATTATTTAATACTTATTTGTGGTATTCTATAAAATAATAAAAATTAAATTTTTTATAAATGTGGCTAATTATATCTTAAAAACTAACAATTTTAGATATGCAACATGCTTAATAAAAGTTGAAAACTGAAAAATTTTAGAAAATCAAGTTTAAACTTTCTAAAAATGATCGTATTATAAAAAATGCCCTACATAAAATATCGATATTAGCTAATATAGGAGCCTTTATCTAACATTTGCCTATAACTCTGTCTAATTATTTTGTTCAAAAATGTTAGTACCTGAAAGTTAATACAACTTCTTCGAGGTAATGTTTTTTCCAAGAATTTTCTACATAACTTGGCAACCCCGCACTAAAATAATAAACTGTTTATTTAGCCATATATAGAATTTTCTCGGAAATCCATATGTTTAAAAATATACAGGGTGTTCAATTTAAAAAATGTAATCTTTGGCGTGTCCCGTGTTTACTCATCGCCCTGTATGTTTCAAATTAATTTTGTAGTTTAAGTTTTTTGATTCTGTATAACTTTTATATAAACTTTTTTTTCTGTATTGTGAGTAACAAGGGAGTTATTTTACTTTCTCACACTAATGGCCTACCCTGTATAGTGTCAGACAAAATTACAAGAAATGTTCGAAAAGATAGCAACGACCAAAAATCTAGAATATTATTTGGAATTATCTATTTTTAATAAAAAGTAATTGTTACTATTTTTAAAGCATTGTGTTTAACGTTAGTGTACTTGTGTATCTTCATTATTAAGCATGTATGCAAATCAAGAAAGGTGAATCCCAAAGTTTAAAAAAATTGTTTTCGCGACTTAATTTTAGGAAATAAACTTATAACGTGTGTGTCTACAGATCAAAGGTAACCTCCGTGTAAATATGACCCTGAATAAAAAAATTAATTGAATGGAACAATTTAAAATACAATTATCACCTTGCATGTGTCCCTCGACTCTATAGAGGAACCAGCGCAAATCATCAAATCGTCAATAATCCCGTCTTTGAGAGTAGAATCACGGGTGATAATATTGTTCCTGTAAGTGTGGTTACACTTATCCAAGCTGAAGAATTCTAGCACTACTTTCAACAAGTCCTTGCTCCCTTCTCCTGAATCTCGAATCTTCTCCCACCCCGATGCAGTGACATTTTCGTAAGGGAAATCCTTTTGCGTCTGAAGACACGCCGGTCTAGAGTAAATATTCAATTCCACATATTTTGATAGTCTCAAGAGACCGATGTCGTGGTATTTGGTGTAGCGATATTCAGGACAAGCTATGATTTCGCTCACAGTTCGTTCCTGCATGTGCGCTAGATCCGACTGGTTTGTTAGGCCAACTCTCACCAACGCTGCTGAACCTCTGAAAAAATATGAAGTGTGTTGGTACGTGCAACAACTTTAAAACATTAATTTAAATTTAAAATTGAGACTATGTTGATTACTCAAAGAAGAAAGATTCCGGTAACCATCAAGTTAAATCCAGTATTTTTCAGTCTTTAGAAAGTATATATAGCTTATATCGCATGTGCCTTAAAGAAATCAGCCAGCAACAATTTTTCTTGTGTAACCCTTCCATGCAATAATTGATTGCAATTCGTTCCACACTTCTTTTAATTGTTCAACTAAAGACATAAATAAGGGCATAAAATTAAGAAAAGATGTCTACAGCCCGAAACAATATAGGGGAATGGAATGAAAGAGTAACTATTACTTTGCTAGGTTTAATCTGTCAATCTTCATCACTACATATTATAAAACAAAGTCCTCCGCCGCGTCTGTCTGTCTGTTCGCTATAAACTCAAAAACTACTGCACCAATTTTCATGCTGTTTTCACCAATGGATAGAGTGATTCTCGAGGAAGGTTTTAGTATATAATTTGTTAAGTTTTTGTTTACATTAACGATATTTGTTGGAGGAGTAGTTCCCTTTACACCATGCAAATTAAATGAATACCTTAGGAGATATAGCAAAATCAAAATAATGCGCAACGAAATTAATTTCGTGTCGCCGTGATTCAACCGGGCCGCGCGGGCGCCCCGTGACCTCGCGCCTCGCGTCCGAGCCGGGGGGGTCCGAAAGTTTATGTAGTGTATCAATGTATGGTGGAATTGTGTATCTTATATATGCCTACAGAAAAGTCCGCGATGGCATATGTCTATATGTGAAAGATAACATACTACCTATATACATTTTAATACTTTAAAAAATTGGCAATTAAGCGGTAATGTAAAAGCTATTTACACAAATACGGTATTAATCCTTATCACTTTAAATAAGTTAGAGGCTTTAATTATTTTACTCTTTTACACCATATAATTTAAATTAATATCTTAGGAGTAATCGCAAAAAAATTACGGACGCGAGAATAAAATTCAAGCACCTCGCTTCGCTTGATGCGATCGTAGACCCTCTCCCCGCACCGTCTTGCCTACTGTTTAGGTAATAAGCCGAACGATAACGCGCGCGTGATCCTTTAATAAACTGACTTGGAGCGAATGGAGGCGACGACTGACGACTGTGTTTTCTTTCTGGGTGCTGTTGGAAAGTTAATTGCGTTCGATATTTTAAGGTCACATTTTTGTTTTGTATTTGTTGTCTTTAGGTAGTCNTCTGAGAAAATTCTATATATGGCAACATAAACAGTTTAACATTTTAGTGCGGGGTTGCCAAGTTATGTAGAAAAATCTTCGAATTTTGGAAAAACATGATTTCGAAGAAGTTGTATTAACTTTCAACTACTAACACTTGGAGCAAAAATATTTGACAGAGTTTAGGCAAATGTTAGGCAAAGACTGCTATATTAGCTAATATCGATATTTTATACAAGGCATTTTTATAATACGATCATTTTTAAAAAGTTCAAAATTGATTTTATAAAATTTTTCAAATGGAACGCCCTGTATTTTATTGTTCCATTTTATTCACATATCAGTCCACTTCAACTTTTATTAAGTATGTTCTACACCTAAAGTTGTTAGTTTTTAAAATATAGCAACATTTCTGGAAAAACCTAATTTTTATTATTTCCGGTCGCACGAAATGGCTTTGGAAAAAACTGACACATTGTGTCAACTTGTCAGTTCATAATTTATCATTCCATATTGAGTTAATTTTATTATTTAATACTTATTTGTGGTATTCTATAAAATAATAAAAATTAAATTTTTTATAAATGTGGCTAATTATATCTTAAAAACTAACAATTTTAGATATGGAACATGCTTAATAAAAGTTGAAAACTGAAAAATTTTAGAAAATCAAGTTTAAACTTTCTAAAAATGATCGTATTATAAAAAATGCCCTACATAAAATATCGATATTAGCTAATATAGGAGCCTTTATCTAACATTTGCCTATAACTCTGTCTAATTATTTTGTTCAAAAATGTTAGTACCTGAAAGTTAATACAACTTCTTCGAGGTAATGTTTTTTCCAAGAATTTTCTACATAACTTGGCAACCCCGCACTAAAATAATAAACTGTTTATATTGCCATATATAGAATTTTCTCGGAAATCCATATGCTTAAAAATATACAGAGTGTTCCATTTAAAAAATGTAATCTTTGGCGTGTCCCGTCTTTACTCATCGCCCTGTATGTTTCAAATTAATTTTGTAGTTTAAGTTTTTTGATTCTGTATAACTTTTATATAAACTTTTTTTCTGTATTATGAGTAACAAGGGAGTTATTTTACTTTCTTACACTAATGGCCCACCCTGTATAGTGTCAGACAAAATTACAAGAAATGTTCGAAAAGATAGCAACGACCAAAAATCTAGTAATCGTGATAGATTTGAAATATTATTTGGAATTATCTATTTTTAATAAAAAGTAATTGTTACTATTTTTAAAGCATTGTGTTTAACGTTAGTGTACTTGTGTATCTTCATTATTAAGCATGTATGCAAATCAAGAAAGGTGAATCCCAAAGTTTAAAAAAATTGTTTTCGCGACTTAATTTTAGGAAATAAACTTATAACGTGTGTGTCTACAGATCAAAGGTAACCTCCGTGTAAATATGACCCTGAATAAAAAAATTAATTGAATGGAACAATTTAAAATACAATTATCACCTTGCATGTGTCCCTCGACTCTATAGAGGAACCAGCGCAAATCATCAAATCGTCAATAATCCCGTCTTTGAGAGTAGAATCACGGGTGATAATATTGTTCCTGTAAGTGTGGTTACACTTATCCAAGCTGAAGAATTCTAGCACTACTTTCAACAAGTCCTTGCTCCCTTCTCCTGAATCTCGAATCTTCTCCCACCCCGATGCAGTGACATTTTCGTAAGGGAAATCCTTTTGCGTCTGAAGACACGCCGGTCTAGAGTAAATATTCAATTCCACATTTTTTGATAGTCTCAAGAGACCGATGTCGTGATATTTGGTGTAGCGATACTCAGGACAAGCTATGATTTCGCTCACAGTTCGTTCCTGCATGTGCGCTAGATCCGACTGGTTTGTTAGGCCAACTCTCACCAACACTGCTGAACCTCTGAAAAAATATGAAGTGTGTTAGGTACGTGCAACAACTTTAAAACATTAATTTAAATTTAAAATCGAGACTATGTTGATTACTCAAAGAAGAAAGGTCTCGGTTACCATCAAGTTAGATCCAGTATTTTTCAGTCTTCGGAAAGTATCTGTAGCTTATGTCACGAAATCAGCCAGCAAGAGTTCAATTTTTCTTGTGAAACTCGTCTCTGCAATGGATGTAAATGCTAGTATCTGTTGTCAAAATTAATTTAGCACGAGTTTGACCTATTTTGGCACTGTCTACTGCTCCAGCGTTTCACCATTTTATTTGTCTTAATTGTGTACCTACTCCAACAAAAACTCTCACGTGAACCGAGTACAGTGATACAACACAAAGTTATCCTTTGTTTGGTCCAATTACTAATGATGTCGTGATTGGGAGAGACATAATTATAATAGAAGGAAAAGAAAAGATATCTATGAATATTAAATCAGAAAAATACTTATTTGTAGTATTTGTAGTACTAATAAGTCACGCTGGGAAATGACTAGTTTTCCCAAGTGACTTATATGACGTAACACACGAGTGCCATACAAAATTTTTTCCAACACTTTCATGGAATTTCGATTTAATAATAAATAAAAGTAACTTAAAATTTCAAGTTGACAATGCCAGAAAAAGTAATTTAACGAAATGAATGTATTTTTAAATATTACTAAAGATGTGACTGTCAACCTAAATTGTGTCTGTAACCAAGGGTTGTCAGTAACCAAACAATATTTTTTGAGTTGAAATTACATTGAAATCCTAAAACCAAGACTGAAATAATGGAAAATGTGGAAATTCCATCTGAAATTTTAGAAAAAGCATGCGGCTACTGCAGACATCATTCCGGAGAAATCAAAATCTATATACAACAAAGAACTGAAGGAATTTCAAGATTGGAAAATCAAGGAAGGGGTGAAAGGCGTAAATGAAGATGTCTTGCTAGCTTATTTTTTCAATTTAAGTGCGAAATTAGCTCCATCCACATTATGGACTAAATATTCCATGTTGAAGTCAACTTTGAGAGTTTACAAGAACATTGAAATTTCTAAATTCGGAAGACTATTTCTAAAGTCTAAGCACAAACATTTTTAACCAAAAAAAATCCAAGGTCTTAGAAAGAGAACAAATCAAACAATTTTTGCGTGAAGCCCTACACGAAGATCATCTTATGAATAAGGTAGGCTCTACTGAATAGTATAACTGAGTTATATTTATTAAATTTGTTGTTCTCAGGTGGCGTTGATATTAGGAGTTTTTGGCGCTTGATGTTGCGAGGAATTGATCCATCCAAGCATAGACAATATAGAGGGCAAAGGGCAGTATACCCACATCATGATTTCAAATACTAAAATGAACAAACCAAGAAACTTCGCTGTGTTAAATGAAGTATTTTGTGTTAATCCAATTGAATTAATTAAAAAATATTCTATGCCAGGGCCTCAAAATATGCAGCATAAAAGGTTCTTTTGCAATTTTCAAAAGGGAAAATGCACACGTTAATGTGTCGGTATTAATAAGCTATCAAAAATCCCTAATGTTGTTGTGCGATTTTTGGGCTTGACAGATTCTAATTTATATACAAGGCATGGCTTGCGTCGCGCATCTGCAACTCTCTTGGCCAATGCTGGAGGGAATATTACTACACTCAAACGCCACGATGGATGGAAGTCATCTGCCGTGGTAGAAGGTTATATAGAACGAAGTCAATTTACAGCAAAATTGATATTGCTAAAAAGATACAAGGGTTGCAGACTCCTGAAGCAAGCACAAGCAAAGGGGGCAACCAATATGATTCCAATAATCATTTGGCATCAAATTACGGCTTTACCATAAATGTTAATGTTAATATTAATATTATTATTACTTAATAATAATATCTACTACCTATAAATACCCTAAACTACCTATAATCTACCTACTTAGGTAGATTGTAAGTTTGTAGCATTTTAGGTTATTTGTTGACTTATTACTGTTTCAAATTGGGTTTCTAATAAAAACTAGAAAAATAAACCAAACAATTGTCTTTTTATGAGTTCTATAAGTCACTAGTGGGTTATAAGTCATAACTTACTGGTGTTCTTATGACTTATAACTCACTAGTGACTTATAGGCCACATTATTCCTTTAAAACTAAAGTATCATTATATACAAGTGCTGGATAAAAAAATTAATTGAGATGTTAAGGTTTATTTGTATGTGGAAAGTAGTATGAGTTTAATGAATACGGAGGGACTAAGACTATTGACGAAAGTGGGTATTAGAGTTGCAATGTACCATAAGCAAAAATTTTGAAGATTATATGACTTTTGTGTGTTCAAAGAGAAGAAGCCCCTTCAGGACCTGATTCAGAAACATGCAATTCAAGAAGAACTGCAGTCATTTGAGACAAAGCATGGGAGCTGCAGAATTTATCAGAGAGAGACCCGACATCGGTAGTAAGTGGATGTTCAAGAAAAAAGTGTCCATTGGTGATAAAGTTACGTATAGAGCAGGATTAGTAGTAGTAGTAGTGAACTACGATGACACTTTCTCATCAGTAGTTCGCCATTCGAATTTGAGGTTTTTCTGGTAAGTCTGTCTTACTAGAATTAGTCAAATCAAGTATACTTGATGAAAATGAATGAAAATTCCAGATGGTTTTAATTGTTCAATTAAACACAAAAATATGGGCATAAAATTAAGAAAAGCTGTTTATAGCCCGAAACAATATTCCAGGGAATGGAATGAAAAAGTAACTATTACTTTGCCAGGTTTAGGGTATCTGTGAATCTTGTGTAAATCAAATTTTTTGTGCCGATTACTCAAACCAGAAAGGTCGTTCTTCTTGATTGCTATATAACGGGTCTTTTTTTATTCTTTATTTTTTATTACAGGTGACATTAAAACTTGTGTTTGCTGAATGTTATATTTTGGGGATTATGGTATTTATTTGTATTACTGGAACAAACAACTCCTAAAATGTAACAAGAACGTACAGTTCATGATGCTTCAAGCAATGTCCAGCGGTGAGAACGAAATTTTCACTTATGAGGGAACCTCCGCACGCCCATAGAATTTCTCCCTTAGGTTTATATCCAATAAGAGCCTAGAAATAAATTTAGTGACATTAAGAAACGTATAAATATTTTGAAAAAAAAAAACAGAAATATACACATCTCTATCTCACTTTATCTTAAATTGAAGTGACTAAAATGATAGCGGTTATTTTTTGTGCAACTAAACAGTTAAAATACTAAAATTAAATTGCACATAAATAATTTCAGTAAATATTTTGATAACATTAAAAATATACATGCCATATGAGGAAATTCTCCTTCTATTGCCAATGTCCCTCCCACGATAAGTGGAAATTTCTCAAAAGGACACTCAAGCGTATTCGAAAATGTGGGAGTAATTTTTAGCGTAGGAGATTGAATCCTCTCGTAAGCGTATTGTGAGTATTCCTTGCATTCTGAAAAAAAAAAAAATAGTGAGTGTATATGTATGTCAGCAACAATGTCTATTTTATCAAATTCTTTCCAATCTTATCTTGATTTGGCTTTACGTCTTAGATATTATTCTGTGCTTTTCCTGTATAAATTACTGAATAATTTAATTGATTCTTGGTCACATTAAATTATCACCTTCAAATTTAGTAATACGTTTCCATTCTTCCATTTCATATACTAATGCTCCTATTAAGATAATAAGATTCTGTACATATTGTTGTAATCTTCAAAGTATTAAAAATGCTTTTTTGCAATGATATTTGTAAACTTTTTTTATTTCATTTTTTCTGTACATGTCTATTGTTTTTATTTTTATCTTTCTGTAAATGTAAATATTGATGTTAAAAAGTAAATAAATTAAATTTGATTTATTATAGGTTTATTATTTTTTCATTATTCTACTAGTGAAATAAAGTTGCTTTATTCCACTAGTGGATAAAGTGTCACTTTAGACGGTTCATATGTGTGGATAAAAGCCCGATTATAAGGTGATTGTGGATAAATAAATAAATAATACTAATTCTACAAACGCAACTAAACTTACTTTTCTTGCTTATTTCTCCAGGTAACCTATTGGCTACCATAATTCGACTTGTGGTGACCTCCGGTTCTCTGGTAGTGGTTGCTGTAATAGGAGCATTGGTGGTCGTCGTGGTGATGGTTTTCTTCATTTCCTCATTTTTACAACAACAGATGGACTGGGTTCCTTGGAATCCGCAAATTTCCGGTAAAACTTTAGACTGCAAGGCAGCTGGACAGCTCGTTATAAACCTACAAGTGCCTCTGCTGCCGTCTTTTAAGATACAGTTGTCTCCTAGAGAAAGCAATATATCTTTAAGAATCAGATCAAATTTAACGTTTACAAAATTAAGTTCTGAACCCCTAGATTTACTTCAAATAAAAAGTTTTTTTTAGGTTAAAATGTGATAGACCAAAAATAGTTTTTAAATTTATGTCCCTGGGCCAAAAAGTTACACTTTGATCTACGAACCTGTTGGTGAGGACATAAAAATGCACTTTAAAAGCTCTTTCATAATAATTTCTAATATACCTAATACTAGATTTTAGTTAATTTAGCATTGCAATTTTTTGTGTAACAGCAACAAAAATTATAAAAAATTGTGTCACTTTCATAGACTCGGGCTGTAGACACTTATGCCAAGTAGTTCTTTCAGCTTACCTTCATTCGAACTAGCTGCACAGTGATCGAGAATAAACAAACACGCAACAAAACTAAAACAAAGACTAGCAAACATTTTAAGTCTTCCAAGACATCGAACTAACTCATTGTCAGTACTACTCCTTGCATTATCTACTTTTGCGTGCAATTCTTCATATCCGTTGGGAATTCTACTTTTTGTGCATCATATTAGTGGAAAACTAAATAGATATGTTAATTATTCCTCCAACCAATATTTAAAATGCAGTTTCTCATATAGTTTGTATGCGTATACGTAGTTTGCCTTTATAATTCTGGAAATCCTTAGGGTTCAGTTTCAATTTGGCCACAAACACATTAATAATATAACTTGTTTATCCAATACGTGTTGCATTAGTAAATGATTTTCTGCATAATTATTATTTAGAGTGTGTTATCGCTACAAGAAATAGCTTTATCAACAAATTTTCTTAAAAGAGAGTATGGATTATAAAAACTCTTTGCCATATTGCTACGTTATCATTTTCTGTTTAGAGAAAGTAATACATATTTAATCAGTACCTTTATTTATTAATAAAACGCGTAGTATAAAAATGACTAGTTTCAAAAATCCTAGGTGCAATAAACGTATAAATGTAATTAAGGCCAAACTTCTGACTCAATCCAAGGGATAAAAGCCGACACTCTGGTGTATACTCCTGGGTCATTAGAAATCCCACAAGCCTTTCCAAAGGACGTGATACCAACGATATAGTGAAATCTTCCATTCTTGTACTCCAGTGGGCCACCAGAATCACCCTGTAAAATAGTATCAACACAATACTTTTTTGTACGTTCCAAAAATAACTGAAAGATATAATGTGTTCCGAATTGCACAAGCCAAACTTTACCTCGTTATAAAACATTCCAAAATAAGTAATAAAATGGTCATATGAACGAGAACGCTTTATTTGGGAGAAGTGTTTGAAATTTAACAAAATAGGTCAACTTTATTTAAAAATCTCAAAATATTTGACATAGATTAACGAAGCTTAGGGTAATGATTTAATTAATTTATTAGTTATTAGTATATTACCGATATAATACAGGGTGTTTCTTAAGTAGAGGTCAAAAATCAAGGGGTGTATTCTGTGGCCAAAAATAAGGGTCTATTTTATATAAATGTGGGGTCTTACGAGAGCTAGCTGTCCAGCTACAATAACGTGATTGGACGAGGCACTCAAGAACCAGGTCAATCTTGGCCACCCAGATCACCCGATATGGACCCTATTGATTTTTTTGTTTGGGGACACAAAGTTCACCTTGAATCTGAGGAGCACTTACGTCAACAAAATATAGTAGTACTGTCATTGAAGCTTTTCACTTCCGAATTCTTTGAAACTGATCCGATCGACTTGAAATTTGGCAGATAGTTAGATAAAAGGTCAATGAACATTAGTAACATAGCGCCGATTGACGCTTCCACCCTGTTGGGGGTTGACACCCCTTCTCGAGGGTGGATTTTTTTTTTAAATAACGCTAGAAATCGATAGAGAATCAAATTTTGAGCAAAAAATATTTGAAAAATTTTTTCGAGAAATCGATAGTTTTTTAGTTATTCACGATTGAAAACTTGGAATTTTGACTGAAAACAAACACTTTTTCAAAGTATTTTTAGCGAATAACTCAAAAACTACGCATTTTATTAAAAAAAAGTGTATTAAACAAAAATGTAGCTTATAAATAAACAAAGAAAATCGTTTTTTAAAAAGTGTTGTATGTCATATACAAAGTCAACTATGGTTAGTGGAAGGGAACTTGTTTTGGGGGGAATACTCGAATCGATGTATTCAACGTCAAATAACGGAATAAGGATTAATTTTACGTGTATAACGCTCCAGGAGTTTTTTATAGTACCTACTCAAAAAGACCTTCAAAATGAGCACTTATAAAAGTTAATTAGAGCAAAATTGAAGGAGTTATCGTCATAAACAGATGGGTTGCTCATATTTTTTAAGGAAAAATGAGCAGTAAACGCTGTACCATTTCCATCAGAATTAAAATTAATCGTAGACCCTTTACAATTAGTTTTGTTTTAGTGTTTTTCATACGATCCTGAAGTTAGACCGGTTTAGAATGCGTATTTTTTTAATAATGTACGGTAAAAGTTGAAAACGTATTTTTCATTATTCAAAAAAAATTGCCTTATTTATATAATAACTCTGAAACTATGAAAGATACGTAAAAAATGATAGACAACAAAAATGTACCTTTTTTTTCAACAAATATTTTGCTTTTTTTTATTCCTATAGCATAAAAAATAAAGGAGATATCGCCGCTTGAAGTATCCATTTTAGTGAAAAAACGACCTGTCTCGAGCCCTTCGATCCTTTCCCTTTAAAAAACGAAGGACTTAAAAGGTTTTATATGCAAACGATCTTACAGCTCTTGAAATTATCTTTAAAATGCTTTTTTGTAGGATACTATAGCTTCAAAATTAACCGAGTTATGGTAAAAAAACCAATGACATTTTTTCGGAGCAAAATAGGCTTTCTCATTTTTATATATTATATATTATATTATACAAATAAAATAAGTAAAAAAATTTAGTGTGATTATTTATATGCAGCGTAGCAATTTTTTTATGATTGATTATATTTAAAAATCGATTATAATAAAAATATTTTACATTAATATTGGTAAAAGGGTAGTTTATAAGAGTTGAAAATGGCAAAAGTAAAATATTCTTTCATAAACAATATAAGGGAATTTTTATTTTAAATTATTGCACAATTATAGCATTCCAAGATTTAAAACGTAATTTTTTATAATTTTTTTAGCACAGGGGTGATTTATAAGGGTTGAAAAGTGTTATGAGATACAAATTCTTTCATAAGCAATGAGGGAATTTTTATTTTAAATAATTGCACCGTTAAAGCATTCCAAGCTTTTTAAAAGTAATTTTTTATCATATTTGTCAATACAGGGGTGGTTTTTAGGGGTTGAAAGGGAAAAATTCTTTTATTAGCTATAAGGTAACTTTTATTTTAAAAAATTTCACGAAATAATCATTCCAAATCTTTAAAAAGTTAATTTTATCTCATTATTTTTTTCATAGGTGGAAGTTTTTAAGGGTTAAATAAAGGGTCGAAAAGATCAAATATATCATAAAACATATTCGAGAAGATGGAATATTATTTAATCTTTATGCTTGTACAAGATTTTTTATCAATAAAATGTTTAAAACTTAATTTTCTCAAAAACAAAAAGCGTCAATCGGGCTTATGTCACTTTTGAACTTGAACCTAAGATGAGCCTTATTCTAAATTTTCGTGCAAATCCATGCAGTTTCAAAGAATTCGGAGGTTACAGCTGATTTTCAGCTTTAAGGACTGTACTATAGCTGGTTGTGATGTAATAAGAGCTACTTCTGAAATTTTTGCACGTGTTCGAGATGCAATTTATTTATGCAATATTGCAATTTCTTTTCTTTCTTCAAATATTGCAATTTGCAATATTTGAAGAAATGGTCTATTTAAACTTCATCTCAAAAATCAGTGATTTTAATTTTTACTTGCGGAAAGTACTAAACCCTATAACTACCTGGCAAGTGTCCTGAACATCGTCACCAGCGCACAGCTGTCGCTCTTCCTTCACTCCTTCCGGTAGCTTGTTCCTTGACGATCCCCTGTAACTCCTTTTGCACTCCCTGTTGGACACAACTCTCAACTCGGCCTTCAGCAGGTCGTTCGAGGTCGGTCCGGCAAAGTCCATCTTTCCCCAACCCAACGCTAGAAGGGTCTTCGTCGCTAGATTCACGTTGAATGCGTTGTTCAAGCAAGCTGGTAAGATATTCCTGGAAAACTGCACCTTTCGCTGAAGTTTCAACAGAGCTATGTCGTTGTACGAGGAGGGGGGATTGTAGTCCGGGTGGTTAATTGTTTCAGTCACTCTGACGTCGGTGTAGCGTTGGCCTCTTCTGGGGTTCAGAGTTTTGGTGCCCAGACGTACGATTCTTACAGGTCCTCTGTAAAATATGGAGTTACGATCGTCTTACAGTCGCAATTTCCTAACTTCGGTGGTAGAAAACCTAATTGTATCACTAGTGGTTTAAGGGTAACAAACACCAATTCAATATTAAGTAAAATTTTGATGGATTTTTTTTTAAACTGTGACTAATTTTAATAAAGATCCTGCCATATCGATCTCTACATATTTTTTTATGTAATATTAATGATAAAGAACTAACAATTAAATTCAATTTAAAATTGGAAAATACAGAGTGCATGTCTTATTCAATTGTATCTTCATTTTTGTTTATACAGGTTTGGAAAGTACCGATGGTCCATCTGCCGTTACGTGAGAGCGATAAAGTACAAATAAGATCCATTTCTTATTTGTGGAAGGGCGAAATGGGCGGTGACTATTAGACGCCATCTTTCTCTATCGCACGGATTTCTATGACTTACTTTATCGCTCTCACGTAACGGCAGATGGACCATCGGTACTTTCCGACCCTGTATAATGTATACCTCTATATAAAGAAATTCTACTTTTTATTTTTGATATTTCTTGATTATATCAATAGGAATGTTTTTATTATGTTTTTTATTTATATTTATAAAAATACTTACACCTGTCGTAGATGTGTACAATGAGCCGCAGTTAATACAAACTGATCGCTTATCAGAGTCCCTCCACATAGCCATACAGGGCGATTCAAACTTCCAAATCCTAGGGCTGCCTAGAAATATGTTTTTTTAATTTGACTGATGGTACCTACTCAAGTATAGTAGAGAATATTTCAAGTATTGACTATAGTAACTTTACCAACATGAGCAAAATTGTTGCTGTTGTAAACTAAAAACATTCGTCACATTGAGTCACAATTTTTATTTATTTCATTTTCTGGTTATTCGAAATATATCAGCAATTGGATATTAATTTATCTCGACTTTAAATATTAAATTACTAAACAGTAACCTCACGTAATGAACTAAATCTAACTAATTTGTTCAAAAAATGTAATGGGTATTTCTTATCAACGTTACTGTTAAATTACCGTATTTAAATGAACCCTATTTCATATTATAATTGTGCAACTAACTACAATGTATTCATTGCATTCCTGTCAGTATTACTCACAATTTGCATTTTATAGAAATAACGGTAAATTTTTAATGTTTGATGTTGTTTAAGAAATTATTGTCAATCTTTCTTAGTGTGAAACGAATAATTTTGGAATTTTTAGAATAAAATGAAAGATATATATTTTTCCTTAAAGTACAATTAGAAATCAAACAAATTTAAAACTGTGCTCCTACCATATGAGGAAATTCATCATCCTTGGTCCTTTTGCCCCCCGTTATTTCCTCCTCAAATATCTGACTCACAAAATCACCACACACTAAAAAAAAAACACAGTTTAAGAAAAAAAAGACGACTGAATAAAAAAAACATGACGTACTGTCTTTGGCTTTTCTCTGTGCGAAACCACTTGTTGCTACAATGGAGACAATAACGATGATACGTGTTATTTTCGCCATCGTAATTTTTGAAATATTACTAGCAAAGTGTGTTTATATACAAATATATAAACCTAAAAGGTTCCGGAAGTTGTGATTTGAAAACAAGGGACTTTTCGCCTGTAACAAAAGAACTTACTCATCCCAAGTATATTAAAATTAAAAAATAATAAACTTTGTGTACAAACAATTTTTAAATTGACTTGTAATTGCATGTTGTAAAATTGTTACAGTTTCCTAGGACCATGAATGGTATGAAAAACCCTGCCGTGTCGTCATGGTTTTCAGGCCGTCGTTTTATCAAGGTTCCGCAATTAGTGCTTTGTTACGGTAGTTCTATTTATATAGAAAAATATTATTATGTGTTCTAAAAATAGACAAACAAATGTTAATCCCAGATTTTTTTTAGACCTTAGACAGATGTATGAGTGACAGCAACGACTAAAAATATCAGGAAACAAAATAATAATAATAGTAGATACCTAATAATTCTGAAAACCTAAAATCAGGTAGATGCCGTGTATACCGCCTTTGATAAAGTACACTATCCTACATTATTCGTAAAGTTGGAGAATATCGGTATACACTAAGATAGATATAATCCTATGGCGCCAATGTGTGTCAATCAATAACTCTATGTTACAAATGTAATATAATAAATCTACATTATATTTCCCTGTATCTTGACCCACTGAACACCGATCCGAAGTCAGATTTGGCCCATAAGGTCAAAAATCCTTCCTAACATCAAACAAAGCTTAAAAATCAACAAAATGAATTTATTAGCTTCTATGATCAAAGTACGATTTAACAGCGACGTCAGCGACTGAAAATCGTGGTCCTGCTATTTTCTTTGTCTTTCCTTTCTCGCATTGACTTTTTGCCCTTGATCCTCACATTTCCCTTTACCTTTGCGTCTTTTTATTACAAAACAGTACATATTATGTTTCAATGATTTAAAATCATTATAAGTATTCTAAGTAAGGACATGAAACCTGTGCAACTTAACAACAACTATGTACATTTATTTAAAAAAAAATTGTTAAACTAATTCTTAAATAAAACGAAGCAATACATTTAACAGGATTCAGCAAGTCAGTAATAATGATGGATTTCCTTCTGATTTTGTAGTTATTAAGAAACTCCAGTAATCACTAATCATTCAACCAAAACACACTTTCTCCTCGTTAGATACGTCTAGAAACATCGTGTATATAATTCTCTAGACAGCAACTGTGTGATGAAGGTTGCCTATGATCTGTTACATATAATACTCTTGTCAGTCGCAATACTTAACTAAACGAGTAAATATGAATATGAAAATTAGGTAGATATCCTTTTATATATACATACAATCTTTAGGAAGTATTCATAATTAATTATATTTAATGGAACACCATTTAAAATACTTATTTTATATGTTTTATCAATAGAAAATATAGCTGAAGTCCGCAAGCAGAAAAATATTTTTAAAATTGCTTCCTTTCTTTCTTCAGCTATTAACGAACGTAAAATATTTTTAAAATACTCAATTAGATTTATCATCATAAAACAACAGATCAGACTATTGAAAAGTTTATGATTGATATATTTTATCTACAAGGTAGAAAATATCAATGTTTATCCATTTTATTGAAATTTCAAGGATATATGCATTACCCAAAAATAATTCAGCGTTGTCCCATTGTTTTTATTTGAAACTTTTTGTTGTCGCTGGTTAATTTTACATATTTGGTACTAGTTATAATTCGAATTTCTTACGAAATTTATTATTTCAGAATAATTAAACAGGTAGTCGCTATCACGACTTGAAAATATATTAAAATTTGATGAAGCGAAACATTAAACATAAAACGAAAGTTTGTTGTCTATGACTTAGTACATTAAGTCGACTTTAATTCAATATCCTACAAAGTTTTATCCCCGGTTAATAATCGCTTGTTTAATCAAGTGAGAAATCATGTTCATTATTTCTAATACCATTATATCATTGTCAAACTACGTACACATATAAAAAAGAACAAGTCAATAACCGCTGGTTTTTGAAGACGCAAAATGTAGATACAATTAAATGGGACAGAAAAATTATATCCTAACATTTTACCTTAAATGTATCATTTAATTTAAAATTATTATCGTCTACAAGGCCTGCTGTAATCTGTTTAAACAAATGCGTTACATATATAGAAACTAGGAGAAGGTCGTACGCAATGGTTATTAAAAAAAACAATTAATGAAAAATCGATTTCTTTGATTTAATTGAAAGCGCAGGTCTTGTATCTGCCAGAGATTTATCAACAGGTTTGGCATGTTTACATAGCGCGACCATTTCAACTTTCATAATTCCAGCCAGCCCAGTAGAAAAAGTAGCAGTATTAAACAATGTACTGAATTTTTATCTTGGTCTAAGAAAGTACCTGTATGTAGCTTTCCCGTTTCTTTCCGCAACTCTAAAACATTGCTGATAGTGATCGAGAAAAATTTTATTCTGTATAGGTTTCAATGTGCTCTCAGATGGTAAATAAAAAAACGTTTAGAAAAAGTGGTGAAGAGAAAAAAAGTTTTTTTTTAACTGATTTCATTTCGAATTGTACGATATTAAAAGATCAGATTTCGTTTTCCATAATTGTGTCCGCTATTTTGATAAATAGTAGAAATAAGTGATGTTCAATGACGTACAGGCTCTAGGCTTAAATATAATTATTTTTTCAAATATGATGAACATTGTTCTAGATGTATACCAGCTGTTTTTAAAACACATTGAGATACATGAGATACATATTATAAGAATGAGGTCCTTAGAAATGTCGACTTCCGGTATCTCCACACTGGTTAAAACATGTTCATATCAGAACTTAGTAAATATTTATTTAACAAAGCTGTTCGAGAACTCAAAAAATGTTTAAATACAGGCTTTAGTAAAAAAAGAAAAATAATCACATTTTGCAAATAAAAAGAGGCCGCAATTTTTAACTATCTTACATACCATCATATTATAACTACCATGAATATTACCTGGGACTCTTATCCATGAGTTGGGGGAACAAGTTCCTATGAGAAAATGACGTAATTTCACCAAACTGCAGACTACTAGATAGCGAAAACTTAAGAGTTCAGAAAAAAATTTTATATTTCAACAAGTGAGATGCTCTGCACATTCCACACTTCTAGTGAGAAACTGACTTGACGTTCACTTCCGTGGCTAGGATGCTATGGACTGCATGGGTACCTGACATCCCAACAGACTATTTCTAATAGGGATACCTAAGGCAAAAAGTGTATTCAAAACAATTTTGACGATAACATTGATTTACTTAAGCAAAAAAATTCAGGAAGCTGTTGCCACCATAAACGAAGAAATGATCTCGTATGTGTTTAAGGGATTTAGAAAAAGATTAGAAAAATGTGTATTACTTGGAGGTTTACAAGTTGAATAGGACTTGCCTCGCTGTTGTTGTTAATTCCAGTTCTAATTTGTTATTTCATATCTGTTTAATTAGAAAAGCTACTTTTATTAGGTTTACCGTAGCAGTTGATGATGGTAGAATAATTTTCTGGTTGGTTGACATATCGCGCTTTTCAAAAACTGGAAAACTTTCATAGTTATTTCTGAGGAAGAGAACGATATCTCTCGAAACGTCAAGAGACCTAAACCGACGAAGTGGTAACCAATCCGGAAATTGTTCTACCAAACTATTTTTATATTATATTAAATTTAAAATAAAAGTTTACTTCTTTTTTACAATTTATGTCTGCTTTAAGTAAGATGGTTAAAAATCGCGTCTTCTTATTTGCAAAATGTGATTATTCTGCGTTCTTCTTTTTTGACTAAACCCCGTCCATACTGTAGGTATATTGAAAAATTTTCCCATACATTTAAACGAATACCTAAAAAAATGAAGATATATTTTACACCCCCAAGATGCCTTCGTAGGGCCCAAATAAGAATTCACCTATTGTGTAACTCACCCGCCGTATTGAATAATCTGAATTGTATTGTAAAACCGGCAAACGCAATCCTCTAACGAAATGCACCGGTCGGGCCTGTCTTGTCTGGTGGTGTGTGGAGAAGGCGCGCCGACCTGTTGCCTCTATAAATAGCTTAGCTTGCTGCAGAATTATCCGTACAGTGGCCTGCAAAAGTATCGTTTGAAGATAGCGATTACCCGTACATGTAATTTTTAATTCGCCTCTCCACCCTACGCCGGTGGTAGGTCAATATTTTTGCCATCGCGAAAAATCCTGAAATTGAATGTAGCTGCAAAGTAAGTAGGTCTTTCGCGACACTGTATATTTGGAGTTATTGGAAAATCCAACACTGTCAATGCCACCTGGTGGCGCGTGCGAAATGAGAAATGTTTTCGATTTATATCGAAAAACCCGTCAAAAATCGACTTTTTTGGTTTCTGCTCTATCTCTTGCAAGTTAAGGTTTTGAAACATGTTACTTGCTGTAAATGTAGCCCTCGGCAAGCAAAAAAGTACCTTTTTTAAATTGAAAAATATTAAAAATTTTTCGAATTATAACGATTTTTCGTACCGTTTTAAAATTTAAAAAATTTTTACGCGAATTAAAAAAAAAACGTTGCTCTACGATCTTCTGGAGCCAAGATAAGTAATTTTTTTTTCAAAAAATTCCACAGACCGCTATTTAAGTGCTACACCGTCCATTCTTACAGAGATTGAGGTTGAAGACTTATATTTTCATTAAAAAAATACTGTGGATCATTTTAACCACCTCTGCATTTTTATTTGTGCGTCAAACCGAAGCAACCGAGCGCGGCGCGAGCTAACTATAGCGGGCGGCGGAGTGGGGGTAACGCTACTCGGCCGCTCCGAAAACTAAATTCGCTCGTCCAAAAGCGCTCTTACTTTCAAAATTTTCATTATCTCGACTTCTGGACCACGTACAAAAATCGTTTTGTGCTGAATCTGGGGTAGCTCGACGAGATAAACCAAAAGCATAATTACCTTTAAAAAATGTAATTTTCCTTTAGTCTAAAATTCTCTCACCTCTTATTG